TGACTGCAGACTGCCAATGAGCAGAGAGACGGAGACATTGAACCCAATTGATCAACTTGACGTATCGAATTCGAGTGTGACAGATCAGTTGAGGCACAAGGGGCTCATGGAGGCAAAATATCACGTATCCAAATATTTCAAAAGGAAAACAACGAGTCCCCAGAGCCCATCAGGGACCAGTTGAGGTTGAACTCACCGAGAGGATGTAACTTATGAAAGCTTAAGCATCATTGATGCTTTATACAAGCTTCCTTGTACCCTGTATCTACCCAATTCGATCTTGCTGCAAGTGGAAGTAAATATCTATCAGAACATCCTCAGATTTATCCAAGTCATCTTATTGAATAGACTACTCGTATGCAACAGCATATTCTCCCCATACTTATTTTATATAAGAATATCCTATGTATGATCCTGATAAGATAAGTGGAAATTGCAGATGGCCATCATACACCGAAAGGGGAAATTTGGCGTCGCGCCGTCTCTGGCGGCGTCTCTCCTTTTGATCGCTCGTCTCAGGAGTCGAGTCCAGGTCTCTATTGCAACAAAAGAAGCTTCAATGTGAATATTCACACAGTTTTGGGGCGCTCTCTCGATCATCAATCCATCGCAATTGCGATTCTATTACCTCCTCTTTTCGCCCATAGCCCAGACGGCCTTTTCTCAAAATACTTGATGTATCACGAAAATAAACATCTCCTCTACTGACACCCAAAAATTCAGCATCCGTTTCGACATACAGTGAAAGACACAATGGAAGACGAGCCAGACAAAATCTCCATTACAATTTGCGGCGATGGAGGATGCGGTATGTTTTTCCGCATTCTTGCCAGTGAAGATTTCCAAGAGCTCGGGATTCTCTCGTCTGGACAGCGAGAGGGATAGCTTTCATTATCGAGAAAAGTTGACACTGATCTGCCGAGGTTGATAGGTAAATCGTCCATTACTTTGCGACTGGTGCGGAGCCAATGGGTCCACGAGTGAGTATCCCCCTTGAAACAAATCGCAACGTGCAAGAAGAGAAGACTGACACATCGCGACAACCTTAAAAAGATACGACCCTACCATCGGTAAAGCAGTACCCGAGCCCTGAACTCCAATTTTTCTTTCGTCTCGACGCGTGTGATCTTCTCTAACACCAATCTTGATTCCTCGGAGGACTAAAGAAGATTCTTATTCGGTAACTCGCGTGATCGATGGCATCCCTTATTTCTTATCCATCACCGATACGGCCGGCCAGGAGGAGTATAGGGGGCTGTTTGCGCTGTCCAACCTGAGGTCGGACGCGTTTCTGCTCGTCTACGACATCACCAATGCATCGAGCCTGAGCGCATTGGATTACTTCATGGGTCTGATTGATATCGAGGCAGAGCAACGCGCGGAAGACAATGCTCGCTTATTGAAGGAACTCGGGGATAGCGCACGCGGTGTGGAAGTCGGCATGCCTCCTCCAGTCAAGATCATCGCTGGCAACAAGTGCGACCTAAAGGATAATCGCGTCATCTCTGCTAGGGAGGGACTGGAATACGCCCGCAAGCACGGTTGTGGGTTCATGGAGACAAGCGCGAGAGATATGGTGAACATTGAAGAGACATTTGCCCGTATGTGACTTGTCCTCTGGCAGTATCAAGGCTGTCGGGGTGAGACGGCCTATTGATCTGATGCTATCGCAGTCATCGTCCGTCGTGTTACCGAAGCTCGTCGACTACATTACCAGCAGAACCAGGCGACGGCGAATCCTGGACAGGCCGCAGCGTCTGCAACCGCGCAACAGCCTGCCGAGCAGACGGCCGATGAGACCATCGCCGCTAACCCATCAAAAGGTGCGAGGTCCCCGTTCAGCCGTCTCTCAATCTTTGGAAAGAAGAGCAGTAAGCGTGCTGCACCCAAGCCAGAAGATCAGCCTGGCGGGTCCAGAGCCGAAGCGGTGGAATGGAAAGAGGAGCCCGTCAAACCAAGTAGATGGCGACGCCTGCTTTGCTGCTGATTTAACATCAATCATCCGTTCGATGGTATCATTCTTTGGTCTCTTTCTTATCTTCTGCTTTTACTTTATACCCCGGTCATCCGCCTATTGACCGGCGATGCCTTTCCATTCTTGACCATGTATTCGGGATGAATTCCTTCGACATATTCTCATCATTTCTTTGTTTTGTACAGTATTGATAGGCCAGATGGACTCGATGTTTGTGCCAACGCAGCATCGGTCACGAAAGAATGAAGTCAGTCATCAATCAACCTCGGCATAAGCAGGGGTAACCAAGCATGTTTGCTGGAGTCAAGCTTAAGTCCTGTGCAACTGTCACGCAACTCGAGCGATTTGGTGGGTCAAACGGCTTGTATTTCCGATCAGGACAAAGCCTACCCACATCCACTTGAGGACAAGGAGATAGACACCTAGAGTCTGGCCAATTCAATGGTAGACTTTCATCATCTATCTGACATCAACGTTCGATAAGATAAGCGTAAATCAGGGTCATTGATCGTCCTAGGCCAAAAAGGTCATGTGGCAATTGAAAATAACAGGATATGCACATAGTGAGATAATTAGAAAAGATGTCCGAATCATTGATCATCATTGGGCTGATTGCAAGCCAAAACTCTATCTCAGGAATATCCTGGACATGTGGCGCAGACATGAAGTCAGCATTCAGCTCTCAGCTCTAAGCAGGTAAAGGGTAAAGAGGAAGTTGACTCTCTGATCAATGGGTCGTCCAGCTGCAATTGGCTGTTTCCCAGATATCAAGTAGGTTCTAGGTTGGTCCTCGGCGGAGTCAAAATACTGAGATAACCCTACCTCTCTAAGCGATGCTCGTAGACAGTTTGGACTGTAAGGGGCAAGGGCGAATCATCAACAGCAGTCATGACATGATCGGTGATAGACTTCCATCATGATGTCAACGTCATTGACTGGAGATAACACTAAGGCGGCTTTGATTTCCGCGAGAAACAACTAGATGGGCAATAGAACGATAGAACATATATCATGATTAGGTAGATACAGGTCAAGCTAGAAGACACCTCAGGTGAATTGTCTTACCCCGTAGCATTATAGGGAAGAAACCATGTCCTGAAATTGTGCTCGCAATGAAGTGCATACGACGGAGTATTTACTCCGGACAGGATTAGAGCCGGTCTGCCGCTAAGCTTTTAAATGAGGAGTATTTGCATATCCAGGAGAGGGAGAACCCGTGACCGTGAACCGATGAATCAGCGGAAGACGCATAACTAACTAACTATAACTAAGTTAGTTTGCTATGCTGATCGCTGAAGCAGTTGAGAGTTGTCCTGGTGAGTAAAGAAACGATCGGCAGCCATGTGCCGAGAAGAGAAGACTCGAGAATAAGAACCCGCTTTATGAACGGGTTTTAGATAATAATAATGCGATGTTTATGCGTCTACTCAGTCTTTGCAAATACTATACAGCTTGATGGGTCTGGCCAGTATGCTGTAATGTTGAACAAGAGCGCTCCATGTACCTGAAGCAATGTGATCATGACAGAGTCAGGCATCATCAGGATCGTGAATTGATCCTGCCTCCTTTACCTTAGAGTTAGTACCTTATATCTATTTTCTAACAAAGGGTTGTGCGTCCTTGCTATCTGATACTAGAGCCGATGATCAACCAGACTCGGATATACGGAGTCGCTTTTACTGCATCTTCCGAAAATTTTCTCTGGTTATGGATTGGCTACTGAGAAAGGGAAAATGAAGGAAATAAACAAATTAAATAATAAAAATGAATTAAAAGACAGAGCATGCTGAGACCAGTGAGACGAGCAAATGCCTGTAAGAGGAAATTTGAAATCAAGGAAACATCTGCCCGGGACATCTCCGAGGCCCGATTGAAGTCTCCGGTTCCGAATACTGTATCGTAACGGATATCAGATGTCCTGTACCACTTAGTGTAAGGTAAAGTATCTCAGCATCTACCTTTAGATGCATTCTGTATTCCTCACAAGAGATTTCATGATAGGACTTGGTCATTTTGATGAAGGTATGGAATAGCTTTAGTTATTATTCAGTTTGTTTTGACGTCTGGACTAAACATAAATATTAAGAAAGTAAGTGTAAATAGGTCATACCTTAACATCTATGAACAGTTACCCGTACAATACGCTGTATATACAGCCGGTCCCTGAGTACCGTCTGGTATTACAAGTACTGCAAAGTTCAAAAGGATCGCCGAACACAGCTAGCCTAGATCCATATTTCCTTTCTGGGCATACTGGGCCCTGCTGGGTCTCTTGGAGTCTTGGGCGCTGCGTCAAGTAGAACGGATACACTACTACCTTGCCTTGCCTTGCTGTAGATATTCAACGCAGCTTCGGGATGGTCGTTGCCAATTGGTAACCTTCGAAGCTAATCACAAAAAGTAAATATTACTCATTGCCTTAGAAATTTCGAATAATCAAGAAATATCTCAAGTATTATTCATAACCTCCCCAATAATAATAATCAATCATCACCTCAGATTCTAGTTAAAAAGCTGTCGGTCCTCCCCCCTCCATAGCTCCTCTGCTCTATTAGTATACTATACTATACTACTACCTTACCCTACTTACTACTCCTTTACCTTGGATCAGTGGATAACTACCTATAACCAGCAGCTCCAGACCCTTGCGTTATATAATCCACAGCCTTTCTTATCGCTGCAACCTTTACGGGCACTTCCTTGGGTCCATCCAGTTCTGTCCATCCCTCCATTACATCTTCATTCCTCTGTCAACTGTTAGGACTGGCTCGTGAGCTCATCTATTCTCCGTTTACTTAAGCTCATTACCCCCACCATTCGACCAGTCCGTTATATCATTGACCGACCTTATCGTCCTTCCAACCTTCAACCATTGCTGTTGCTCTTACCCCGGGAAGTAGGGGTTTAAGATAGCCCGGATATAGTTTTCGCTCGATCCGTCTGGATTGGTGTTGCCCTACAATCGCACGCGCCCTCGTTGGTGTCAACAGCATCTTACTTTAATTGATACTTCCTATACCACATAATGACGGCACGTCAATCGTCACCCACATCGGACCACTCACATTCGGACGGCAATGTTCGCAAGAGGGTGTGTAAGGCGTGCGATCGATGTAGATTGAAGAAATCAAAGGTAAGCAAGCCACGGTCCAGAAGCAAGCATCAGCGCGCTCTGAGGCGGCGCTGACCCAGTGCAGTGTGACGGCGCCAATCCATGTGGACGGTGTAGGGCAGACAATGCCATCTGCGTCTTTGGCGAGAGGAAGAAGGCCCATGATAAAGTGTACCCCAAGGGGTGAGCTTGCACCTTTGGCTACTCTTGACTTTTATGCGTGCGGGGAGGGTCGAACATCAACATGCTAATTTATATTTCATCTACAGATACGTTGAGATGCTGGAGCAGCAACAGGCTTGGCTGGTATATGGTCTTCAGGAACTATATCGACGCTCCAGCGAGGGTGAAGGGTGGCCGGGAGAGCCGTTAAAATGCGAAGCAAACGGCCACCCTCTGACGCATGATCTGCTCACACGGCTTGGCGCTCTCGATCAAAGTAAAGGCGAACGCTTCGAGGAGAACACCGAGGTTATGCAGCAGGAATTGTGGAAGCAGAATGCCGGCCACATGCAACGACAGGATTCATCAGATGGCAGTTCCGAGAGTGCGCAATCGCCCATCACAACGTCGCGCTTCGCAGACGCCTTCTCACGACATCAACTTCCTCCCACGCCTCCAAATCTCAGCCCAGCAGCGCGTAGCCAGGCACCGACGATCAAGGCTGAACCCCAGATGGCTCCCCACAATCCCGCATACATTGCGCCCATGTCGATGCAAGGGGTAGTAAACCCCATCGCCTTACAAGGTCCACCGCAATGGCCTAACAGCAGCTTCGGAACCTTTGACGAGATGGACATGATGGGGCCGTCCGACTTTACCAGTCTTTCCTTCGATGATCAGTTATCATCACCGATGTTCAACCGGCAGATTCCAATCAACTGCGTAACATCGGCCTCATTCATGGATACGAAGAGCGACTACGAGGACTTCAATCAATTTCTGAATCCGAATCCGACGGAGATAACGTCCATCTAGTGGGCCAACTCCGCATATTGTACAGTGTCTTTTTTCTTCATCTCATTTCCAGTCTACGTCATGTTTCATGTCTACTGTGGGAGAGTTGTTTTTCAGGGCTCACTATTTAGTAGCTCAATGGAGCTTGGCGTTGGGATAAAACAACCGGAGGTCTTGGATATTGGAACCGTTAATGGGGGCGTTTGAAGATCTTCCTTTCTCATTTTTTTTCTTTTTTCTTCTACATGCATATCATGTCTGTTCATTTGTTTCGGTGTTTGACTCGGGGCTTTTCATGCCTGTCAGTGTTACACCATAGTGAGCGAATCGAACTTTGATACAACAATGATCACTCCTCTCAACATCGGCGACCGTATTTTTTTTGGCTCATTTGGCTCAAGCTGTCTCATCATTAGATCATGGATCATGGTCGAATGATTGGACGACTGTGCCGATCAGGAACTGAAAGTGCGGAGTGACGTTGAGACATGCTTGACTAATAGCTGAGGCAGCGAACTACGTCATGCATCGCCGCATATGGGGACTTTTTACAGCATTCGGCGAACTCAAAACAGTAGTCATGGTAGATTTTAGCGTTCATGAGTCCTCTAACGTTTTTCTTGGCTGATCAATGAAAGCGTGCTTTTGCAGCTTTTTCCGAGATCAGAGTTCATCAGCGTCTTCCTGGTCGATTTTGAAGGTTTGAGGATTGTAGCTAGTACGCAAAGAATTCTGTCTCTTCTTGGGCTTTCTACATTTGCAGTACAGAGATCAAGTCTGACAATAGTGTTTCCATGTTCCAAACGACATTAAGTCATATTATGATTATGGTTTCATTTAAAGATCGGTTGTGTCAAGACTCAAGACACAGAAGAAAAGGCAAAAAAGGAAAAAAGGTGAAAAAAAGAAAGAGGGTCCAATATTCCCCACTGCGAGAAAAAGTTCCATTTCTCCATCTGGGCAAACTGGTCAGCCTGATCCCAGCCTCACAGTCCGAGCCCGCTTTATCTCCAGACACCGAGATTTTCACAATGATTACTATTCCATTTGCTTGGCTTACAACTCAGGAGGCCGGAATCCAAAGAACCCAGAGGAAGTAAAAAAAAATGTCCGAGATGCCGACCTGCCGACCCAGCTTTCTAGAGTTGGTGGCTCGTTCCCAGTTCCCGATCTCCCATCGGAAGATGGCACCAGTTTTAGGCATCTTGACTCCTCTATCAGTCCACATGCACAAAATTTTACTTGCTAGTATCTAGATGCTCCTCCGTAGACTACTGCGCAAGGGACTCTTTCCCCCGTAAGACGGCGAAATCCTGGAAATGGATAGGTCAGACAGTCACCTCTTTTCCCTTTCTCGTATTTACTTCTTGTAAAAGCTGTCTCCACGAGGGTTCAAGGTTTGGTTAGCACTAAGCACTACGTGATCTTGATGCTGATATCATATTGACATGCAGACAGCACCCTCAGACAAAGTACCGATTCTCATAGTACACTTTGAATAGCGGGTTCTTGTGCTAGATTGGGTCGTGGAAGTTGGAACAGTTACCATCAGTCCATCGCACTCTTCTCCGTCCGTTACTGGCTTTGCTTTGTAATGGAGCCTAGCTCTCGGCTCTCTCTAAGCAAAAACGCTCCCATAGTGCGGAGTGCCGTGTAGAGACTAGGAACAACAGATCGATACAGTTGTTATCCATAAAGCAAGCCACTGGAAGGTTTACTTTGATAATCCAACTGCTCGTCCAGGCGAGAAGGCTCATGGACTCGAAAACCTAAGTGCAGCTTCTCGGACCCGGTCATCATCATTTCTGTTTCGGAGTCTAGGCCGTTCGCATTCCGCAGATGCTTATAAACGGACGACGGAGTATCCATGCCATGTACTATTGTTTCCCCAAGCTGACAGGTTCGGATTTCGGAACTTCGGTGTAGACGCTCTCCGTGATCACCGACCCGTGCTGATGATTGAATGCTTGACACTTGCGTTGACAGCACAACCACTAGCAAGAATAGAGACTAGATGGATCGATACCAAGTCTGTTGACTGTGTCAGCTGCTCAGAGTACTTCTAGACATTAGATACCTTGATTCTTCAAGCGTAACAGTTGGCATTCTCGAGAGGACAACTCTAGTAAATATCCAGATATGGTATGATAGGGGTAGCTTATATAAGGGCACTGCGGAAATACCATCAAATGCTCCATCGGCAAGGATGAGCCCCTCGACAGCCCGTTTGAGGCTCAGACTGGGCATCCAAGTGCGGGGACCGCCCTTGATATAAAAGCGAGTCTGACTCTGACGAGGTCTATGCTCCGTGCTGTACATCAGTGTCACGCCAAATAGACAAACTCCAAGCTCTGAATGCATTGTTCTGCCTCAGGCATAAACACCCCGGAAATCTACCGGATTAGGCAGAGTATCAACTATCAACATCTTAGCCTAAAGAGTGGCCCCTCACTCATAAACAATCCATCTCCAATATCAACCTTTTATTGGTCAATTCGCAGCTTGCAATGGGTACTATGAGTATTTAGCCGTCGAAAAAGAAGGACAACTAGACAACTAGACATCCAGAATGTTGAAATGTGCCTCATCTCATTCAGGCTCCGGTGCTTTTTCCCGTCCTGCCACTCTGATCGACGTGTTGCGGGGTTACGTAGTTACTGCTGAGACATCTACCCCTCCTCGATATCAAAACTCGCTTTTCTGCAACAACTCGCATGCCCAGATTGACAACTTAACCTCATTATTGTCCATTTCCAATCAGTGACAAGGCCCCAAACAAGATAGGAAGATGAGCATCATGTCTGAAGAATCTGGATTCGCCTTTCTGCCTCTCGGAGCCATCATCCAGGAGTTCCGCGTCGGAGGGAAGAACATCGTTCTTGGCTTCAACACCCAGGAGCAATATTATAAATACAACTCGCCTCACTTTGGCGCAACAATAGGTCGCGTGGCCAACAGAATCAAGGATGCCGTCATCCACAACTTGAATAATCGGGACTACATCTTGGCCAAAAACAACGGGCCCAACTCACTACATGGCGGGGAGAAAGGCTGGGGCAAGTGCGTCTTTGACGGCCCTCAGACCGTGAAGCACGATGGCAAGGATGCTCTGCTGTTCAAGTACCTCAGCAAGGACGGCGAGGAAGGCTTCCCCGGCACTGTGGAAGTGCGAGTCTGGTACACCGCCAGCAAGGAAGACTCCAAGACAGTCCTAACTACCGAGTATGAAGTTGAGTTTGTGGGTAACGAGTGTGAGGAGACGGTTGTCAATATGACCAACCATAGGTAAGTTGCAGTTGACAGGGGTATTCTATCATAGCGCAATGGTTGATGATATTTGTGTCTCCGTAGTTATTTCAACCTCGGCAACGGTCCTACCATTGAAGGCACCAAGGCCCAATTGTCCACCGCCGACTACCTGCCCGTCGACTCCACCGGTATCCCGCTTGGCAACATCGACAAATTCCCTCTGGACGTGTCCAAGCCATTCGTGCTCGGCGCGGCCGAGCCCGACATTGACGATGTGTTCCTGATGGAGACCGATCCCTCCAAGGTCGTTTTGGACACGCGCAGTCAGCCCTTGAAGCTGCTGGCGCAGTTCAGTCACCCGGACACGGGCCTGCACCTCGAGGTACACAGCACCGAGCCCGCGTTCCAGTTCTACACGGGCAAATACATCGACGTGCCCGCGATGGACGGGCTGCCAGCGCGCGTGGCTAGAGCCGGCTTCTGCGTGGAACCCAGCCGATATGTCAATGCGCCCAACGAGCCGGCATGGCGGCCGATGGTGCTTTTGAAAAAGGGACAGATCTTCGGATGCAAGACCGTGTACAAGGCCTGGAAGGCATGAGCGTTGTCAAACCTTCTCCATATATGATATGCCTTGTATCTCGGCTACGGCTTGAAACTAACTGGATGAGGTTTCCCTCTTGTGTCTTTTTGATTCGGTGGTCCGGCACTCCGTAGTCTAGTTCATGTGCGATTTTCGCCAGTTTTCGCCGCGGGACCCGCAGCATCATCCGATGCTGCGGCACTAAGACAAAGTGCCTGTGCAGGTAGCGCGCTATGTGCCGATTATCCTTATCTCCGTGATATGTATCCGAGAGACCATCAGCGTCCCTCACCTAGAGAATAGTCTAGAGAGGTAGAGAGTGAATGAATTTGTGGTCCACTGGTTCCCACTTGTGCCAACCCAGAGACCAAGCCCATTCTAGAAAGGAGAAAAGTTCGATGCTCGGGGTCCACCCACATGAAATCGAAACAAAACGGCGTCTGTCAGGCCATCTGACGAGCTGAGTCCTGCTGAGGTTGAGAATTATACCGCGGAAGACGGTCACGGGCATAGTTCGAAGGCCTGTCCCATCCCATACTCCGTGCTGAGTTACCAACCGGACAAGTACGTAGTATTAGTCTGGCGTACTCCGTAAAATGGCTCATTGTTGCCGTCCCTGAGATGCCAAGAGCTTCTCGAAGCCTACTATGGGTCTTCTAGCGCGCAATGATCGTCCATATGATCGTGCGTTATGAACATTTCACTGGCTGTGCTCCTCTGTCTTCTGTGCTATTCTATTCAATAGTGTATAAGGCCATATGACCACACATTCTCGGCGAACTGACCCATTGTACCCATGTAAAGGATAGATCCATAATACATGACAGCGAGAATATATGGGGAAATGGACTTTACCGTTGATATTAGTATTGAAGGATCAGGTCTTAGTTGGATAGACGGGCTGTAGTATATGTTGCCAGTTACTAAAGTATTCAAGGGGGTATAAAGCCTGTGCCATATGGCATCCAACTTTCTCTGTAGGTACATGAGATGCCAGGGCAGAAATACCAGTGGAGTTCAGAATTTCAATAAAAATGTATTGCGCATACCGAGCAGTAATTAATGGGATGGAAGACAGATGTTTTTCTGTATTTCTGTATTATAGTTCGTAATGATACCATGTCGGTACAGAGGTACTGCACCGCGGACGGAAAGAGGATTGCCGTGTAATTCCCTGGGTAAGATTGGC